CGCAGGCGCATAAAAACCAGCAGCTGCTCCAGAAGAAGAGAGACGGGCAGAAGGTCGTGAAGAAGACGACAAAGGCCGCCGGCACTGCGAAAAACAATGAAGCCAACCTCAAAAGGTGAGCGGTCCACATTTCCCAGCTTGCTATTGGTTTAACCCACCCCCCCCAGGGTTCCCAAGCTGTGGCCGGGTTACGGACATTGGTGGTCACGTATGAACAACTAGGAATAGGAAATGAGCTTTTAAATACGACGTCACTGACCTCTGTAGCTGCGTGCACTGTGGAGCAATTCTTCCACAGTGGTAGCTCAGCTCTCATTGCTCCCCCATCCCAGCAGTGGCACACCAGCTTGCTTCCCACTCCCAGCAGTTACTCAGCAGCTCTGCGCCCCTCTCCCAGCAGTGGTTCAGCTCTCATTGCTCCCCCCTCCCAGCGGTGGCTCAGCCGTCTTCCAACTGTCTAGTCATGCTGACCACTCCTCATGTGTGTTTTCTACTCCTTCCAGGGCCCCGAAAAAAGTTGTCACCATCGAGTCGGCATTGGAGGTGGTGAAGGAGAACCATGTGACCTGCGAAGAGGTGAAGCCTCCGCTGAAGGAGGGTGACCCGGTTGAGCAGGTATCCTCCATATTGCAGACGTTGTCGCCTCCCAGTGAGGTTGTGACTGTGAATAAGGCTCCTCCCCCGACTGCGCAGACCTTCCCTACGGGTGTGGAGGATATCGATAAAGATTCGACAGATGACCCGTTTGCCAGCGCGGAGTACGCCTTGGATATCTTCTCCTACATGCGTTCCCGAGAGGTGCGTTTACTCCCCACGGTCATCCTTCGTATTCACGCTCAGCCGGGGCGGGGGTCCGTTTGGAATTGCCAGCTTTTCTGTTAAAGGATAAGGTCACTTTGTTCTTTTTGTTCCCCCTAAACGGCCCCGCCCTCCAGATCTGTACTCACCGAAATCCGCTACAAGCTGCATCCGGCCCCATAGAAGTCTATGGCACTGCTATGTGCTGGTGCGGCCACCAGAGGGAGCCTGTTGCATTACAATGTAAGCAATAGGTGAGCTGTACTGGTTGGATGTAGGTAAGTACGGATCTGTGGAGGGGGGATTGTTTAGGTCAGGGCAGAAAGGATCAGTGCACTTTGTTTTAAAGTGGACCTTTTTTAATAATCTGCAGGGTCTGCTTGAGGAGATTTTCCTTCACTTCCTGTCTCCCAGAGGTACAACAGGAAGTCGAAGGGAGTTCCTAAAATGTCTGGTGACCACTTTAGATGTTGGCTTTCCCGTCCATGTCAGTC